GGTGCAGCCTGCAGAACGTTCCTGCTTTTTTTCAGGAGCTCTTTGCAACAGACGCTGCTCCAGGAGCCCCCCAGGAGAAGAACGAGCAGCAGAGAGGCAGTTACACACCTGAACTGCAGGAGTTGCAGCTGAGGTAAAAAAAAAAGCCTGAGGAAATAGGGGTGGGGATGTTGATGCTGATGGAGTTAGCGCCGTTTCTCTGTGTAGGGAAAACTCAGTGGCACACCGGGATCTTGTGAACTTGGAGGAACTTTGTGTGCACTGGGCAGCTGTCCTTAGTTATCTCTTGGGATGGAGCTTCAAAAAAAAACACAGTGACAACGTGCAGCAGCAGTGCCAGCCAGACCTGGATCTGCTGGGCTGCATCCTCAGTGTCTGCTGCGGTTGTATCAGGGGTTCTGGTCTCAAGGCTGTAGCCTGAGAGTGTCTGGAATTGAGACCTGGCACGTGATTCCTCATAACCTGCTGGAACTAAGATCCAGCACCTGGTTCCTCGCATCCTTTCAAAATAATTTTCGGAAGGTGGAGCCAAGGAATTCCTTCCTGATGTGCAACAGAAGCTTTAAGAAATTTATCTTCTCTTGTGCTTTCTAAATAATTTAAATGTCTTAAAGACAACGAAGTCTTCTGTGAGAGGTGGGAGGTAATCTGAGTCTGTTCACATCGGTGTATGCAACAGAAACAGAAGAGTGCACAAATTAGGCCTTTTTTTTGGCATGTGCTTGGTTCTTTTCTGCCAGGTTGTCCGAAACAGAACATTTACACAGCAGCACAAAGCAGGATCTGAGGTATCTGGAGGAGCAGCTGGAGGAGGAACGGGACCGTCGTCTCGCTGCAGAGGAGGCTCTTTCTGCGGCCCAGGATCAGATCAGGAGGTGAGGCAGCTTGAACAAACAAGCCCTGTCACCACAGAAGTGTGCTGGCTCCAGCTCTCTTCTTCATCTGCACTTCATCCCCTCCTTCTGTCAAAGGAGGGGGGCACAGAAACAACTGCTCAGTGTTATGGCACTGAATCACAGAAAGGCTGAGGTTGGAAGGGGTCTCCAGGGACCATCTGGTCCAAGCCCCTGCTCAAAGAGGGCTCCCTAGAGCCATTTCCCAGGACCATGTGCAGATGGCACTTGAGTATCTCCAAGTGGGAAGATTTCACAGCCTCCCCGGGCGACTCGTGGGGTGCTCAGTCACCTGTACTGCGAAAAAAGTGTTCTGGGGAGTTCAGGAAATTCAGTTCTTCAGTTGTAGGCAGGTAGAATCAGAATTAATCAAAATCAATTAGAGAAATTAACTACTGGAAAATATAATTTGGAGACTGGGAATTGGGTGCAGGCAGAAGAGGAGTTCTCATGCTGCCAGGGAATTTGTCTCCTCAGTAAGCACCCATCTGTCCTGCAGAAAACAGTCTTGACTCAAAGAATTGTCACTCAATTTTAATGTATTGCCGGTCAACAGAAACTTTTCATTGATTTGGTTATTAAGAAACAGTTACACAGAAACACTTTCCCCCCACTTTTCCCAGGCTAAACTTCAGCCCAGACCCCTCTCCTTTGCAGCACCGTTGTTGCCTGAGGGGCAAGTTCAAAATCCTTGTTTCCCCTCACTGACTGTGCAGGTGGATTTTTCACATGACCTGGCTGTAGGCACTTGAGCTGTGCATTTCCATTTTGTAGTTCAGACAAGCCTCACTAATGGAGTCTTTTCCAAGAAAACAGTGGCTTGCTTTCTGGCATGCTTGCTGATTTGGCAAAAAAATAGCCATGTGTGTGGGGGAATTCTGGATGCAGTTCCCTGGTAATTGCTACACAGCTTGGACATGTGTAGCTCCTTCTGGCTCTGAAGTCTTTTCAAGCCTCCTGTAGCTGATCTCACTAACAAATGGCAGCCCCAGGACGTGCCTGTGCTGCCTCTGCCACTAGAAAACACTTACCAAGAGCCAGCACTGCTGCAACCAGAGCTGGTTATTCCAAAATAATCCCACAGAATTTACACTGTGCAGTTGTATCATCTGCCCTGGCTCCTTTCAAGTCACACCAAGAAATTCCAGTTGAAGGATCGATTCCTGCCATGGTTGGGTTGCCCCAATCCTTTTGCTTAATGTGAGCTCCAAGGCACCCCAACTGTACAAATGGAACCAGCTGTTGTCCAGTGAGGCCAGGGCTTGCCTGTGGGGGGTTGATTCCTTGATTCCTTTTTGGGGAAACACGTCCTTTCGTGAGCTCGAGGACAGTCTTGGTTTGGGGGCATCATTAGAAAGTGAATTAATTATCCTGTTTGTTGTGGCAGGTTGCAGTCAAGTGAGTGGGCGTCCTCCTTAAGTACCAGCATTGATGTGACTCCAGGTCATGAGCACTCCTTGCTGATCGACTCCATGGATAACAATTCCAGCAGAGTAAGAACTTAACACTCCCAGCTGTCGATTATGTAAGCCCTGCTGAATCCAAGAAACTGGGAACCCACAGCAGCTAAAATCCTTCTGTGGGCACACCCAAATGTGTCAGGGGGCTGGGTGGGTTTTTACTCTTGCCTTGCTCTGTCTTCCATGCTGGGGACAGAACTGGATGGGGGTGGTTCCTGGAAAACCTGCAGAGAGCAGGGGAAGGAGAGCGTTCCATGAGGATTGCCCTCGAGGTGGGATCTGCCAGTGTGATGGCTTTGGGAAAGGTTAATGCTCGTTAGCTTAAAGTTATCTTCATGGTCTGGGTGAAGGTGGCTGGGGACACCACCACTCCTTGCACTGACTGGTCTCTCTTGGCTCTTCCAGACTCGGAATATCCATGGACTCCGACGCCTGTTCCGCTCTCTCTTCCGTTCCCGGACCCACCTGCCTCTGCTGGTGGCCACTTATCTGCTTGCCCTCCACGTCCTGCTCTTCCTGTGCTTTACAGGCCACCTGTGAGCAGGAGGGACAAGGCCCTCTGTGTGCACTGAGGGCCTGCATTCCCTGCTGATGGGCAGCGCTTCTCCCAGCTGCTGCCTCCTCCTTTCCCAGAGCAGCCCTGGAGCAGCAGCTGGGGGGGTGGTGGTGTCAGAGTCAGCAGGAGTGGTTCATTTTCTGAGCCAGGGTCCTGCTGCAAACATCGAGGGCAGTGTCTGCTCCTGTACCTGGAGGTAGAATCACTCATTTTAGATCATGCTGTGCTGTGGTAGGAGTAAGAAAAACATTCTCGAGTTGCTGCAGTGCTTCAGCACTTCCTAGAGCTGCAGAATCTTCCCTCCCTTAGGCTGAGGCCGTGAATGGAGTTGGGGAAAGCCTGGAGCTGGATGTAAGACAAAGAGTTGTCTTCCCTTTCTTCCACCCCTCAGTGCTGTCTGAAAGGCACATCCTAAGGAAGTTGTGAGCACTTTAAGGAAGGTGAATCTTAAAATTGTGTTTCCTGCTCGGTTGTATCTCCTGTCGAAGAAAGGCCAAAATTTGTCTGTCTGGCCCCTGCAGAGCATTCCATTTAAAAGCAGTCATGTCTGCCCTGGCAAGCCTGTAAAACAGCACCAGGAATTTAGTTATTTAAAAGGAACAGGGAGCAAGAAAATTTTTAGCTCTTCAGTTAAAAACCTCGCTATTTGTGGCATTTGTCCACCTCTGGCAGTGGAAGGTGCTGGCTTACCAACAGAAACAAGAGCAGCCCCGCTCCTGCGTTCTCACCCACTGGCCCCTCGTCACGAGACTGACCCAAACAGTCGCATTTTTCCCATGGGAAAGAGGTAGTTCTTTTGATATTGCTGGCAAACCAGGCCAGAGCACAAAGCCCTTTTTGAGGATGGATTGTGATTTCATCAGCAGCTCAAGCAGCTGGATCTCTGGCAGGCCCAGGGCACTGGCACTACGTACCCAGCTGTGCACTGTCCCTGATCAGGGGTGTGGATTTCCTCCAGCTACATGAAATTCAGTGACCAAACACTTTGCCTGTAGCTTCCTGGGGCGTGAGCTCCTGTGTATATATATAATAAAATTTATTTTTCAGATGGAATTTGGGTCATGTCACGTCACCGTCAAAGGTCCCTTGAGGGTGTAAGTGCTGCTGTATCACCCCTTGGAGGGGGGACGCTGTGGGATTTCAGGTCCCCTCAGTGTGTTATCGTTGCAGAATTTTGTTTCTTTATACAAAGAAGGAATATTCAATGTCCCATGGGGGGGGGGTGTTGAACTAATGATTTTAAGGTCCCTTCCAACCCAAGCCGTTTTATGAACACTGAAAGCAATTCCAATAAAACAAGATGTGCTTGGGTTTGCTTTTCCTCATTTGCCTAAACACTGCACCCAGTCAGGGTTGGGCAAGCCCAGGACAGGCACAGGAGTTGGCACCAGGGAGCTGGAATGTGCTCCTAACTCAGCTGGGATGATTAAACTGTCCCCTTTCAACTTTCTGCAGCCAAAGATGGGTACCCTTGTTCACAGTCACTACTTACAGTCCCACAATCTGCTGGAACAGAAGCCAGCCCTGGGGCTGTGTTTTCCACTCTGTTTAACACGAGTAAGGATTATAAAGTCTTATTTCCTTAAAGTCCATTCAGGTTTTCCTGAACTGATTCTGCAGGATCTGAGACATTGAATTGTTTTATACCTGCCCAGGTAGAGCAGTTGCCACTTGGATTAAATACAAAAATGAAACCAAACCTCAGAGAGGACTCCTGATCTGATAATGATAGTCTGACTTGAAGAGCTTTGTGGTTTGACCTGATGAAAGACACAGGGCCTTTTAGCTGATGTTTCCTGTCTCAAACATTTCAACATTTTGTTTCTTCTCTGATGGACCTGCCCTGCCTTGGTGTTGATCTGCCTGCAAAAGAGTGAGCAACAGTGAGCTCAATTTCTTGTCCAAGAAAAAAATGGAGGGGTACAAAAAATCGGGGGAAAAAAATAGGGAGGGTACAAAAAATCGGGGGGAAAAAAATGGGGGG